TTAGTGTAGGTAGATAAATTCCTAGGATGATGCTGATATGGTGACGGGTAAGGCTCTGCTCGGCAGGGTGCCCTATAAGGGGCCGCGGTTTTGGAGTAATAAACTGTGGGCAAAGTTAATTACGGGGTCGGTTGTAAAAGCATTACATTTCTGGCCGAAGTATACTAATAGTTCCCACTTGCGCGATTTTTGCAATTTTTTATATAAATTCTTATTTGTTTTCTCGACCAATTTTTTGAAATCAAATGCATTGTGTTGACTGCAAGTGGTTGATAATACTATGAAAAACGCTAACGTTACGCTTTCACATTAGAAGCATTCAAAACACCAAGTTACTTCCAATAGAGTGTGCCCGCGGATTGGTCCCCAAGGTGCAAAAATGTCTATTATTCATTTTACCACCAAAAGTCATTGTTTATAAAAAGTTTCGTTAGAGATAATAAATTCACGATAAAAAAAACTTAGATCAGATATACAGGGCATTGATAAATTAGGAAAATATGTATCAAAAGTGAAGTACCATTATTAATCATTTAAAAAAAAAATTCTAAAAGAATGTTGCTTTTAAACTAGCGTAAAAAGTGAATACAAATTTCCATATTAAAAATTAGAATATTTTAATGTTATTCAAAATAGCTATCTCCCATCTCCACACACTTTTATATTAAATTAGTAAATTTACCATACGCTTTACGTGGAAGATTATGTGAGTAAACCGTTTGTATTAAGGCACCCTACAAAAAGACGTCTAATAATAAAATGTGAGGCAACTTAGCTGGATTGGGTCGAACCTCACCTAAGTATTAATTAGGTAAGTATCCAGTATTAAGAAAAGGTAAGACAAAATTTTCCAAAATGTTCATGTTGGTTAAAGTTTTCCTCTTGAAAACATGAGCCTCTTATCCAATGGAACAAAAATCCACACCATACGTTGACCTTTTTGAAACGTCGACTTCGTCCGTATATGACATAATTAGGATTGTCGTAGTCACAATTACTGATCTTTTGTAAAGATTTCCATTTATGCAAAATGTAAAAATATATGAAATTGACGGTTTACAAGGAAAGTTTCGTCTATTCATAAACTAAACTCTAAACTTCTCTCTTCCCCTGCAGGTTCAAGTATATACTGCATCCTTGGCTTAAACGGTTTATATTGTTTTCCTTAAAAATTGGGTGTAACTTTTGCTTAGATCCACTGTTTGTGTACACCTCCTTAAAGAGAATTTCGGGTTATCTGCAACTCATCTCATTGCTAATAACCCAGTTTTATCAATTTTTTAAAATATTTTTTTATTAGATTAGATTAGATTAGATTAGATTAGTTTAGATTTTTGTATTATTAGGTACTAGTGGAGGGTAATGAACCTGCAGTTGTCCAAACGATTATTCTCAACTACACAGTAAAAAACTTACGTAATACAAGAGCTAAACTAAATACCCAAAACTACCATTTAGAGAAAGCAAAATATCATATTCCATTACTATTTGATCGTAAACAATTTTCACGAAGCAGACCCAGCAGTGGCTAGTTTGGTCCATTGAAGGCTTTCGTTTCTTGAGTTGCGCAAAGTTAGAACAGGTTAAAGCTGAAGTAAACGATATGCCAAGACTTCTTTAGAATCACTGCCATTTCCCGCGTTATATGAAATGAATGATCCTGCTGGATTTGTATCTTTTAGGCTTATCAGCCCGTTATCCAAAATCCGCCGCCATTAAGTCCCGAATCTCGACTCTTATCAGTTTACAAGATCTCAGTTTTAATTGAAAAAGTTGCCGAGCCTGAAAAACAAACGATAATGGATGCGACGAGAGCGGTATTTGCACCGAAATTTTTAAATAAAATTCTAATCTAAGTTTTTGGGTTGCCGGATTTTGGGCATACACTCCTTGCTAATCCTTGTTAAAAATTTGTTTTAATTTTATTGTTGAATCATGCCAAAAATAAGATACCACTCAATACAGAATAAATGGAAAATATTTTTTTTTCGTTTCCTCATGGGGATGCGAGATATAATCCAAATAATTGAGAAAAATCGAGCGCGAATCAGGAGTAAGGCAATATTAAGTAACGATACCGCATTATGGGATATATTTTTCGGACACACACCCTTTTCATTTTTTCTCGCTCATTGTTTGGACAAGATTATATATAAAAGATTTAATCATATTTACTTTAATATTTATATTATTAAATAGTGTGAAAAAAGTTCATTAACGGTTTAGAACAGGTGCTATTGAAAGCTAGACTGTCACGCTTTGGAACTATGTATTTCTTTTCTCTAACCCATTCAGTTCTAGTTCTATACAATTCTATACAAAAAACAGAATCTACTCAGTAGTTATTTAGACATATTCTATCCCTTTTTACTTTGTTTGCTATATTTCGAATCATAGAGGTTATATTTGATCCTATACTAAGACAATAACGCTAATAATATTAATACTAACAATCTTAACATCTTCAGTAGTCAATTGCAACAATGGTGCCACATGTATATTTAACCGTTGCTTGTGTTTCTGCAAACAGTGTACTTAGCTCTGGCGATTTAACCACCACTCGTCTATTTCCCAACAAACGTTTGGTTTATTCGATTAGAATTTCATTTATATGTAGTTCGTTGAAAATCGGAAGAATTATTTAATCATATTCAGAAAGCCGTACTTAAGTATAAACAATTTTCTCTACTCCCTTCTCTAAAATACGCAAATATAAGCCGATGTAGTATGTGGAAAGAATCACGAGAACGAGGTCAGTTTCGTTTTCTATGCCGCAAGCTACTTCAGATAATTCCGGTATATAACCACACGAGTTTGGAAGCGATCGGATGTTTTCTGAGATTTTACCGCACGACTTGAATTTTGACGTTTGTCGATTCTAACGGTCATGTCAGCGAATATATTCTTGTTGTTTTACAAAAATGTACCCAACAACAACCGGTTGTAGAACAAGTATAGTATTCAACACGTTTATCAAACTTTTTAACTCACTCGTTTATTGAAAACTCGTGACCCAAACGCCTTTTACCGCACTTGTTGCATAAGATACTATTTTCTACTCCCTGTATAATTTCTAATTATACACCTATTAGCGTGCGGGAAGCGTCACTTTACTGCGTGAGTCTCTCGTCCCACGGATCTGAGCCACTTCAGATATTTCCGGGATATTACAAACGCGTGTTTGCGAGCAATCGGATGTTTTCGTGGATTCTACCGCACGGCTTGTTTGTCTCGTTTATTAAACACTCCTTCCGCTCGTGAAAAATAAACTCGTGACTCAAATACGGTTAACCACACCTCTCACTCGTTTATTAGCCGCTCGCACCTCTCGTACAACCCAAATGCCGTTTACCACACTTGTTGCATAATATATCTACGATTTTAAAGTTCTGCTGCTCTCACTTAGGATCTGCTGTAGTTTGTGTCACACTCTCCATCAATTTTCCTACATATTGGTATTCACACATTTCTGCCTGTACATACCTTTTCAACATGGTAGTTGAGCAAATTTTTGAATATATCGATTTTGTCTACTAGTTCAATATTATAGCATTCTCCTATGACTATAATAATAGTATAATAGTAATCTTATAATTCTGTATATAATCGACTGACCGTCTGTCTGTTTTGGTATGATATCAATATACACGGATAAAGCAGAGTAAAGCTATCACACCGCACAGACTTCCCCTTATCCAAAAGTTCACTCTTACACTAACTTTGTTCAATTCCTAGGATATTATTAAATACAACTTTTAACCTTAGTTCAGAGAGAAGATTGACCACAACAGAATCTACTCAGTAGTTTAGTAAATTGGACAGTGGCAATAGAAAGGAAGGATTTTTTAAAATGGTGGGATAAGTCAAAATCAATTTTTTATTGAGTTGTCCTTTCAACATATTGTAAATGAACTTCAGATGTTTTATTCCGCTCACGAGATCGTATCCTACTTATATAGGAGGGGAAGGCTTGCTATTTATTGATTCAATTTTACTTTCGACAATATCGGATTAATGAGAAAACTCAGTATTTTGTCCGTGGCGTAATATTGACGATATAGGAATTTAGCCGCTGGGCACTTTGGTCAAATAAAAAAAATCCCCCTGTTAAATCCGCAAAGCGAACACCCGGGCAAGAACCGCGGAAGTTTGAAATTTAGTGGCCCGTAAGGTGTCGCCGCCATGTGGAAAATGGAGGGAGGGAGAGCGCGCGCACGTGCGACGAGGAACGTTTTTAAATCGGGTCGCGTTCGAACTCGGGATCGATAGCACGCCGATAGTGTTGAACCCCAAAAGAAAAACTATTGTCTCCCTACGCGTTGCGTGTGCGTGTGAACCACCTCCACCGTACCGAGACCGTGATCCTCAAGATCGAAGAGGAGCTGCTATTGGGGCCCCAGTCCAGCGAGACAGCAGCGACAAAAGGTTAGTGCCGTCTCTGCCCTCAAGACCACGTCTTACGGGCTCTGCTTGAATATAAAAAATTACAGTCCGCTTTAAATTAACCTCAGGGTTGCGACGACCCATTTTGATCCTTCGACCGGGATGCCGAATGTTTCGCGATTTCTATATTTTCAATATTATACATGCTAATTTTCTGCATCATATAAAATTCATAGTGTTCGCTTCGCGTATTTCGTTCAAAACATTTATTTGTGGGTAGGTACATAAATGCATCAATAGGTTAAATCCTCCGTAGGTACAAAATTTATCGATCCATATCGAAAGTTTTTTTTTGTTGGTAGATCCATATATAGATTATAAAAACAAGTGTTTGGGCGCACGGTTTGACCAAGGCCTACGATATCGCATTACGACCGTGGTGTTAATAACTTCAAAAAATTATCAAATAAAAAACGTTGTTTACTCCGCTTTGGTTCCTTTAACAAATAATAACGGAGTCAGTATTTGCCGTTTTTTTGTTACATTTCCTGTCGATTAGTACTACTTACGTAGCCGTTTATTTTTTGGTATCTAGTTCTTTGACAATTTAATTCGAAATGACCGAAAAATTGAAAAGGCTCGTAATGAAACGCACTGCTGCTCTTAATCGGTTAAAGGAAACCTACGAGGTCGGGGTAAAGGTCGAGACCGATCCTTCAAAAAAAGTTCAATTTTTGGTTCGTGCCGATGAGTGTGACGAAATGTACGGTGAATTCGGCAAGTCTCATAATTCCGTAATTATGTTGCTTGCCGATGACGCGGAATTCGAGGAACACGATGCGGTTCGAAAACAGGCGGACATATATTACTACGCAATCAAAATGTTTAAACGCGATATTTATTCCACGGATGCCCCTGCATCTAGTCAAAACGCCAGTAATATTGAGCCTCCCCGCGAATCGGCCATTCAATTAAAAATGGACGTTCCTACTTTCGATGGGAATTTTAAATTCTGGTCGCCATTCATAGACATGTTCGATAGTCTCGTACATAATAACGTAGGGCTTTCAGACGTCCGAAAATTTCATTACTTGCATCGAGCATTGAAAGGTGACGCGTTTAATGTTATTAAGGGTTTGAGTATTACGGAGAACAACTATTTAATCGCATATGAGGCTTTGCGTAAAAGGTATGACAATAAGCGTTTCACAGCCACCTGTCACTACCATGAGATTTTTAATGCGCCCGCGGTTCAAAAGCCCGCTGCTAGAGAACTCCGCGCCCTTTTGGATACTTTTTCAGAAAACATATCCGCTCTTAAAGCCCTTAAATTTAACACCGACAGTTGGGATTTTTTATTGTTTAACATGATGCTGCCAAAGCTGGATAGTCAGACACGCACTGAGTTTGAAAAGGAGTTCAGGACAACTGAGTTGCCAACATTTCAGGACTTAAGCGATTTTCTTGAAGAATACTGTAAGGCCTTGGACTCGGCGCAATTAATGAACTCTAACCCGTCTGGTCTTCGAACTAAAACTCCAACCAGCTCTAGTTTCATTAGAAAATCCACCTCGGCTTTCATAACCGACACGCCTGAACAAAGTTCTGCCCAAAAAAGCAAATGTATTGCGTGCTCTGGTAATCATATACTTTTCCGTTGCCAAGTCTTTCTGGCCAAGACTCCGCGCTACCGATTTGCCCTTGTCAAGCAGCATAATTACTGCATCAATTGCTTACGGGCTCCACACAACCTAAAGCAGTGCCCCACCTCAGTACACTGCAAAATTTGCAAATTTCCACATCATACTCTCCTCCACTTTCCCAAGAATAACGAGGACGACCACTTAGCTCAATCCACTGAGCCCCAGCTCTTTACTAGTACCCCCAGCCACTCTCAGGCTTTGCCCAATGCAAACGCAAACGATTCCACTTGTGCAGCTGCCTTTCAGCCACCAAACTTGACTCTTGTCGGATCATCTGCCGTGTCAGAACAATCCACAGTTCTACTGTCCACTATCGTAGCCCACGTGAAAGATATCTACGGATTCTTCCAAAAGGTGCGAATAATGCTAGATACAGGAAGCATGGCAAACTTTATCTCGCAGAACTGCGCAGACAGGTTAGGTTTACCCCGTAAAAAAGTTTTGGTTCCCATAGAGGGGCTTAACAATATGTCGTCCAGTTGCAACCAAGGTATGATCCAATGCCAACTCCGCCCTTGCGATAAGCTCGAACCTATATTCAACTTTGAAGCGATTATCGTGCCCAAAATTTGCTCTTCGCAGCCCAAAATGGTAATCGATTGCTCACGCTTGGCCCATATACAACATCTGCCCCTTGCAGACCCTCAATTCAACATTCCAGGCGACATTGACCTGTTAATTGGTGCTGAATTAGTACCCTACCTTTTAGAAAGGGGCCGCCTAGTCGGCAACCCTGATCAACCGGTAGCGCTTGAGACCGTCTTTGGCTGGATCCTGCAAGGCAGAGCCCAATGTTTGGCCTTCTCCAATCACTTGACTAATCTTCACGTATCCACGGAGCCAACACTTGATATTAGTCTTCAAAAGTTTTGGGAACTTGAATCGATTTCAAGGTCCATACCTCCATCCCCTGATGACATCAAATGTGACCAATATTATAACGAAACTACCTACCGCGAGACCTCCGGGAGATTCGTAGTTTCACTTCCTTTTAAGCATTCCGCGCCCACGCTTGGAAATTCGTATAATCAAGCTCTTAAAAGGTTCAACCTCCTCGAAAAGCGTTTATCAAAGAATCCTAACCTCCGAGAGGCTTATGTTGATTTTATGACAGATTATTTGAAATCTGGCCACATGTCTTTGGTATCTGACTCCGCCCAATACCGCTCTCCTCTAGGTTACTACATACCTCATTTTTGTATCTCCAAAGATACAAAAATTCGTGTCGTTTTTGACGCATCATGCGCCACCTCAAACGGTGTTTCATTAAACGACACCCAGCTTACAGGCCCAAAATTGCAGCAGGATATCTCCTCGATACTCCTACAATTCAGATTCCATCGTTACGTGTTCATTTGCGATATACGTCAGATGTATCGGCAAATATTGATAAACGTTGCACACCGAAATTTCCAGAAAATTCTCTGGCGCTTCTCCGATCAGGAACCTTTGCAGGAATACGTTTTAAACACCGTCACTTACGGTGTGTCCAGCTCTCCTTACCTGGCCCTCAGAACGATCAAAGAGTTGGCCATACGGGAAGGTAAAAAATTTCCCCGCGCGGCCCAAGCCTTGGAGCATCAAATCTTTATAGACGATATCGCCGCAGGTGCGGACCTCCTTGATGCCTTGCTAAGCTTACAGCAAGAACTTATTCAGCTTCTTCAAACAGGGAAGTTCGAGCTTCGGAAATGGGCAAGCAACCACGAAGCTGTCCTATCTGCTGTGAATGCCTCACATCTTCAAATGCCCTGTTCGTTTGACAAGGATGAGCCCATATGTATTAAAGTCCTAGGTTTGCAATGGAACCCTTCGGGCGACACGTTTTCCTATTCCTGCTCGCCCAAAGATCTACCTTGTACCAAACGCAATATTCTCAGTCAAATCTTTCGCGTCTACGATCCTCTAGGCTTTCTGTCACCCGTGGTGCTATTCGCTAAACTTTTAATGCAAAAGCTTTGGTTGTCTCACTCGGACTGGGACGAAATCCCCAGTGACGATGTTTGTCGACAGTGGAATAATTTTAAGTCGGAACTTCCCGAACTAAGAGCCATTAAAATTCCGAGACGTATATTTGTAGACGAACCACAATTGGTGGAACTGCACGGTTTCTGCGACGCCTCGCAGACTGGCTACGGGGCAGCAGTGTACCTCAAATGCAGAGATTTTACTGGCACTCCTCAGATCCATCTCGTCATTGGTAAGTCTCGAGTAGCCCCTTTGAAAACCGCCATCTCGATTCCCCGCATGGAACTAATCGCTGCCGCCCTTCTCAGCGACCTTGTCGACTACGTCAAGCAGGTCTATGCAAGGCACGTCACTCTCGACGCAGTCTTTGCATGGTCTGACTCACAAGTTACTTTGGCATGGTTGGCGTCCCCAGCGCATCGCTGGAAACCCTTCGTGGCCAATCGAGTGGCACATATACACGGTCTCATTCCCTTCACTAGTTGGCGCTACGTTCCCACTGCGGAGAACCCCGCTGATTGCGTCTCCCGAGGTGTAACACCCGCTCAGCTCGTAAACCATGGCTTATGGTTTCAAGGCCCCGCTTGGCTTGCACAGGAGCCCAATAATTGGCCTCAACAGCCGGACATCACTGAGATTCGTCCCCAAGAGGTCTTCTGCGAAGAGCGAACTTTAGTCTTGCACACCAGTTTCGAGGAGCACTTTTTAACGCTATTGGTGAATAAATTTTCCTCTTTGCCCAAAATACAACACACAATAGCCTACGTCCTTAGATTCATTTCGAACACCAGATCCGATAAACTTGCAAAACAATTCGGCCCTCTCTCCCCATTGGAGATTCAAAATGCGCTTCTGGTGATCGTAAAACACGTTCAAATGTTTTGCTTTACAGACATCGTTGAACAACTAAACAAAAATAATCTGCCTCCCAAACCCTTTCGCAAGTTAGCCGTCTTCCTAGATGGGCGAGGCTGCCTCAGGGTGGGTGGTCGGATTAGGCGTTCCAATTTATCCTATGACGAGAAGCATCCTTTATTATTGCCCAAATCTCACCGATTGACAGAGCTTATTATAGAATGGGCACACAAACAAAACCTACACGTAGGATTTAAGACTCTTCAATACATTTTGCTACAGCAATTTTGGATCCTTTCCCCACGTACTGCTATACACCGAGTCTTGTCCCAGTGTATTCGATGCTTCCGGGCGAAGCCCAAATCTTACTCTCCCTTTATGGCCGACCTCCCAGCCGTAAGAGTTTCACAACTAAAAGTTTTTTCGGTGGTATGTCTAGATTACGCCGGCCCCCTCTCGATCACCATGAGCAAGTCTCGAGGTGCCAAGTCACTAAAGGCCTATATCTGCGTATTTGTATGCTGCGCCGTAAAAGCCATCCATCTGGAGTTGGTCTCTGATTTAACTTCAGAAGCATTCATTGCCGCCTTTCGGCGGTTCGTAGCTCGCCGAGGCCGATGCTCACAAATAATCAGCGATCAAGGAACCTCCTTTGTCGGTGCCCATAAACAAATCCTAGAATATTTTAAACTCGCCGCCCAGACTGCGGCTATTCAGTGGAGCTTTAATAGCCCCGGCGCTCCACATTTCAACGGCTTGGCCGAAGCCGGTGTCAAATCAGTAAAAACTCACCTCTACAGAGTGCTTGGCGATCAACTCCTCACCTACGAGGAGATGTATACCTTGCTCGTGCAAATAGAGGCTGTTCTCAACTCGCGCCCGTTGTGCGCTGTCTCTCACGACCCCAACGATCTCCAGCCACTGACTCCGTCCCATTTCTTAACGCAGGAGCCCCTGCACTCCAGCATTCCGGATCCAGATCTTTCCAATATGCGCATCAATCGCCTTAGCAGATGGCAATTAATTCAGCGGATGCACACCGACTTCTGGCGAAGGTGGCAACATGAATACCTTCACACTCTTCAGCAGCGGGCGAAGTGGTGCGAGAAAGTCGATAATATTCAGGTGGGGAGGCTGGTACTCATAAAGAACGAGCAAAGACCACCTCTTCAATGGCTTTTAGCCCGAGTAACCAAAGTTCACCCGGGCACCGATGGTTTCGTCCGGGTGGTGACTCTAAAAACCCCCACCGGACTTATGCAACGGCCCGTGGTCAAACTCTGTCCCTTACCCAATCACTGACGCGTGGGTAATCACGTAGCCATACAATATTTAGGTTAATTACCCGTTTTAGTATTTAAGTTAGTAAGAAGTTTCTTTTGTTCTTTATTTTATAGAAAACCCTTTTTTTTTTTTTTCTCGTATCCATTCATTTACCTTATGGGTGCCTTTCGGTTATTTGAAAACCGTGGGTTTTGGTGGGTGGAATGTTAAATCCGCAAAGCGAACACCCGGGCAAGAACCGCGGAAGTTTGAAAATTTAGTGGCCCGTAAGGTGTCGCCGCCATGTGGAAAATGGAGGGAGGGAGAGCGCGCGCACGTGCGACGAGGAACGTTTTTAAATCGGGTCGCGTTCGAACTCGGGATCGATAGCACGCCGATAGTGTTGAACCCCAAAAGAAAAACTATTGTCTCCCTACGCGTTGCGTGTGCGTGTGAACCACCTCCACCGTACCGAGACCGTGATCCTCAAGATCGAAGAGGAGCTGCTATTGGGGCCCCAGTCCAGCGAGACAGCAGCGACAAAAGGTTAGTGCCGTCTCTGCCCTCAAGACCACGTCTTACGGGCTCTGCTTGAATATAAAAAATTACAGTCCGCTTTAAATTAACCTCAGGGTTGCGACGACCCACCCCCTTTGGAGGATTTTCATCTTTATTCCGAAGGCGAATGGTAATAAAGCGATATTTATTTGTCCCTGGGATTTCTTTATAATTAATAAGTTAATGCTGTCGGCATTCTTATATACAATGAAGCCGTTTCTATTTGTCGACGTACCTTTATTTGATTTCGTTTTGTTAAAAATAAATAATTAACCTAAATCTTATATAAATTAAATTCGCCCTATTTTTACAATTCATCATTGAGACATCCGAAGAGTTGAATTTTAATGATTACCAAATAAACTTATAAATTATGGTTTTATATTTATTTGACGATGTTAATTACTAAAATTTTACTAAGTTCTATAGATGATTCAAAGGTCGAATTGATTTTCTTATGGAGAGCAAGTTGGGCTTTAATGACTGTGCACCAAAAAATTTCGAATTTTTTGATGTACTCGCTACATTAAAACAACTGTCAATCCCTCCAAATAGATTCAGTTTTCACATTGGCTGTATTAAAACTATATCAGGGTAACTGCAAAATTATGTAATATGTTACAACACCCTTAAAATACTAATTGTATAACGTTACATATATAAAAACACGGGGAAAACCATCTCGACTATTAGATACGATCTGTGGAAGTGATGATTCTTCAGAGAAAATAATACTGTCTTTTCTAACAAACTTTAGCAATACTATATAGAAACATTTGAAAAGGCAAAGACGCATACCCAACAGCTTTTATGAGAAGCTATGTTGTAAAATTCGTATATGCAACAAACTATTCGTTCAGGGATCTTATTTTCCTATAAGAATATTGTTAATATAAATGTTACTAATGCAGAAAGAGAGGCTCCATTTAAAAGCTCTTTGTACTATTGCTCTATGGTAACTAGGTCTAGCATCGGTTTAGGAAATAATAAAATAAAATGGTACCTATGTCTTCACTTGCGCCCTAATAGCAATTGCCAACCCTTTTCCGTCTAATAACTTCTCGTGTTAATAGCCAGGACTTAAGTTAAATTGCATATTCTTAAACACTCAGACAAAGATTGTTTAATAATGTTTGTTACTTTGGTAGTTTTTGTTTCGTCCTCACTGATTAAACTATCAATGTATGTTTGATAGAGATATCGGTACGTTACCTTATGATCCATTACCAATACAGGTGATATTTGGAATGGATACAATATAAAATTACAGTCGTTTAAATTGCAGTTCAGTTGGACCCAGATCATCATGTCGACTCAATTATCATCTAAGATCTTTGTAACTAACTAATTGCAGACTGAGTCATAACGATAACGACAAAAAGCGACTAAAGATGTTTTACAATTTATTTAAAAATAGTAACATTATATAGTCGGCGCAAAAAGTTTCGATCCTTTGTCAACGGTGAGTATCAAACTAGCCAATCAGTCAGTGTGACAGTGAGATTTCCCATGCCAATTCTGATCCTGCTGTTGGACCGGATGAGGTTGAAATTAAAAGTCTTTTTCTTTCCGCCTTTTATCAAACAAAATATACTATACTTTACTATACTTTATTCATTAAATCATATGTGCGATTGAGAGAGGCAAAGCAATAACTCTTTTTCTTATTGACTTTAGTAAAGCATTTGATGGAGTGGATTATGCTACTTCTATTATACCACATACTACTATATTCGGTTTGGTGATACCTCCTTTAAGCTCACGAGGACTTATCTCAATGATCAAGTTCTGTTTGTGGAGACTTTCGAAAGGTGTTCCTCGAGGTTCTATTCTGGGGCCACTTTTGTTTTCTATGTCTACTAGTAACACTAAATCACTAACAGATTCATGTACGGGCGTGCGACACACAACACAATTCATCCAAATCGGCTTCTTAAATTTTTCTCTTCCTTTCTTCTATCAAAAATCCAGATATTGCTAACAGATTATCTCGTGATTAGTCATTTTAATTTTGCTGACGTAGTCTAAGGTTCATGCTTGGATAAGTGCGACTCAGACGAAATTTAGGGTAAGCTATTATCTTCATTCGGGTTTAAAGGCCGTCGTCGATTGGAATTACTTCCTAACGTTTCGCTAGCACGAGTGGCGAGCTTCTTCAGAGGTCCTTCCATCTCCGATGTTGGACGTAGACTGACGATTTCTCCTGCGCAGGTTGTATTTATGCCGATTGGTGGAGGGCGGGGCTTGTTCCGCTTCGGTTGGTCTCGGGATATCGATCGGTACTGCTCGGACGTTCCTAAGGATCGGGTTCCAGATTTGGTTGAGTCTAAGGGTCTCCTCCTTTCGGTTGAAATTGTGTGGGTGTTTTTGAATCTCAATGGCTTCCCTGACTAGTCTGTTGTGATAGCCGTTGACCGATGCTAGTAACTTACAGCTCTCAAAGTGTATCCTGTGTTCCCCGCTGCCCAGTGCGTGTTCAGCCACTGCAGACTTCTCTGTATGTCCTAGCCTGCAGCTTGCTTTATGCTCCTTAAGTCTCGTTCCCATTGATCTCTTGGTAGTTCCGATGTAGACCTTTCCGCATGAACACGGAATGCGGTAGACTCCCGCAGCTGAAAGTGAGCCCCTCTTGTCCTTCGCTGACCTGATGGTCTGCTGGATCTTCTTTGTAGGCTTAAAGATTGTTTTGATGTCCTGTCTTTTCAATACTCTGCCAATCCTGTCGGTGACACTCGGAATATACGGCAGATATGCGTGGGAGGTGGAGGGTCGTTGTTCGGTATCCCGTGATCTTGATGATCTTGAGTTCATTGATCTCTCGATCTCCCTCTTACTGTAGCCATTTGCCTCGAACGCAGTTTTTAGGTGTTCAAGTTCCATCTGGAGGTTCTCCGGTTCGCAAATCCTTCGGGCTCGTTCTGTCAGGGTTCTGATAACCCCATACTTTTGACTTGGGTGATGGTTGGATAGAGCATGCAGGTATCTGTCCGTATGGGTTGGTTTTCTGTAAACTGTGTGGCCCAGCTTGTTACCTCGCTTCCTCACTAGTACTTCCAAGAATGTTGGTCATTTTCAGTCTCCATAGTAAACTGGATGCTGGGATGCTGACTGTTGAGATGCTGCAGAAAGTTGTTGAGCTTGTCCATACCATGTTTCCAAATCACGAAAGTGTCATCCACGTACCGGAACCACGTTGCTGGCTTGTACTCTGAGGTCTCGATCGCTTTTTCCTCAAAGTGTTCCATAAATAAGTTGGCTATAACCGGGCTTAGTGGGCTTCCCATTGCTACTCCGTCCACCTGTTCGTAGAAGTTTCCCTTCCACACGAAATAGCTACCGGTCAGACAGACTTCAAAAAGTTTGCAAATATCGACAGGAAATATCCTGTTCACCAGGTCCAAGCAACTCTTCAGAGGTACTTTGGTAAACAGTGAGACAACGTCGAAGCTCACAAGGATGTCGTTTTGTTCAATATTGATATCTTGAATCTTGCGCACGAAGTCGGTGGAGTCTTTGATGTAACTGGTGCCGTGTCCTACGTGTGGTTGGCTAAACACTTGGCATCGCTGCTTCAACCACACGTAGGACAATTGACTTTCTATGGCGCATAGGAACTCGAGTAGTTAAAATTGCACATTTTGCTGCACTTCTCCATAAATTAGATCCGAACGTCCCTTGTATTTTGGCTAAATTTTTCAAGTTGTATTCTTTCCGACAATATTCCAGAGCAACTTAAAATATTATTTCCCGATAAAGAGAAAACATAAATATTTATTATTAAAGTACCCTCAGTGATCAATGTTTACAAAGTTAAAGTTATTATACCTGTTATGGCTTCGTAGATATGGACTTACTCAGTACGCATCGATATATTATTCCCGTTATTTTTTAACCGGCAGTACAAACTAGCACCTTTTTAGTATTGATTTTAATCCTACTTTTCATCGATGTTTAGATCCAAGTTAGTATTTTGTTTAAATTATTGTTTTGTTGTTGTTATTGTACAGAGTTCGCAGAACATAAATGATCTACGGCCATGTATTTAAAACAGTTATTATACGTAAACGAGTTAAGATACATTTCACTAAATCTACGTTGGAATATTGTCATCGTCAAGTTATTTTTTGGTTAGTTTTGGTTGGTTGGTTAGTCAGCAAAATCTTGTGAGAAAATTTATTTGTGTAAACCCTAAAAATGACAATGCTTGTTAATCACTCTGAGTTTATTTTCATTTCATATACCGGTACATAAGGAATGCAGTCCGTAGAATTAATTGGAAGGTACTCACTGATGGTAGCTGCAAATATTTAAGAATGTCACCAACTAAATCTTCTGGATTTCCCCTGCGTCTGTTGTTGATGAATCAAACTTGCTGACGTTTGCTTGCTTCAGAGCTTAGCTCAATCTGGTTAAATTAATCCCTAAAGAAGCCAACAGGACGATTGACGAAACGTGACCAAGTTGACTCATCAAACAAATCG